TTTTTGATAAGCATGACTTCATACTATGAAGTGAATGTCCTGTTGTTGAGTGGTAAAATCCCACATCAAAATATAACATGTATGAATTAAATATAAGGAAAGCTATTCCAGCTATTGCTAATTGGTTTTAAGTTGGACCAAAAGTTTATATGCGAAATTTTCACACCTATGATTGGTGAACTTGTTGATGATTAACTATTCATTATTTTCCATCCAGTCTTTAGTTCAAATGCTGCATCATTGTTTTAAATTCCATTGTGCAGCTCAATGATGTAGCAAATTGATATTTCTCTTATACTCTAATATGTTATTGAAATTAGATAGTTGAGAGATAAATGTCTCGTGTGAAATCAATATGAATGTTACCTTCCTTGCAATCCTATTGCTTGAGGCAAGGAGGTAGTAAAGGTTTATTTCATGCTAATTGTTAGAGTGTGTGTTGCAAGCGATAGTTCTTGACTTTTAACATACTCTAGTTGTACCTATATATATAGAGGGTTAGAATCCATTTAAATGTAACTTTTACATACTACTTATACAAAGTCTTGACAATTCATCTTTCCACTATGAATGGTTGGGATTTATCCAATTTTATCATATTTTTAAAAGATAGTTATCCTTTTCATTTAACAAGTTGTGATAAATCTCAATCATTTATACATAGTGGAGAGATGAATGGTTGAGATTGTATGTAAGGAAGAAAAACATCTCAAAACTATGTAGTTTGAATAAAGCATCATGTAAAATATTTAAAACATTCTCATTTCTAAATAGTGCAGAGATCTAACCCGAATACAAGCCACAACAAACCCAAAATACCAATATTTAACACTCCCCTTTATCTGTTGGGTCAATAAAGCAATAAAAACAGGCATATCATGTGCATAATAAATAGGTGAGATGTTGACAATAAGCAAGTAATAAACACAGCCTAGGCTCTAGTACCATCCAGCCTAAAAGCAATTGGCAACAGGTGTAGAGGCTTAACTTGAATAAAATTCTATTACAGCCCCAATGTTAAAATAATGGAATATTTACTGCCACTTAATAACATCAATATATAATGAAACTGAATTCAGAAATGAAAAGTTAACTCCAGTAAGCATATTGCCAAACCAAAAAGAATAGAGTCAATATTTTCCTTGAAGAAGAGTGTCATTATACCATAAGACTCACTAATAAAGGTTCTTCTTTGAATCTTTGCTTCTCCTAGGGTGGTCTACCATATAAGAACTTTGTCTATATTCATAGTATGTTGAATATATAAATAAAAACATATCTATGAAATTAGTGTTTATCACCTAGAGGAGGAAAAATATCTCAAAATTAAATTGTTTCAATAAAACACCACAAGAAAGACCAAAACAGTCTGATTCCTTTTTTAAAAATAAGTTATTTTAGTTTTTTTTTTTTTTGGTAATGAGAGTACATTGAAACAACATAGTTTTGGGGTTTTTTCCCCCTTTTTTGGAGGTTTTGCTGATAAACACTTTTCACTATGTACATACATACACAGACACACATATATATATACATATTACAAAAGTGTTTGTTAGCTGGATCTCTAAAAAATTAGGAGGAAAAAGATCCCAGAAGTACTTTGTTTTAATAAACTCCCATTGAAAAGACTAAAAACACCTATTGCGTACGCCAACTGGTTTTAGGTTGGATGCTAATAATAGCCATTCTTATTTTTCTAGGTACTTGTTTTGTTGCTTAGATAGTCGAAGAACTCTCTTTTTCTAATTGTTGTGGATTCTATTAGTAAGAGAGAGGTTACATGCTTGATTGTATCTATTTCATTAAATTTCCATCACACTATGATGTGAATCTTTTTAAGATTAAGTAGCTATAGATATCAACATTAATTTATCTTGCCTGATTTATTAAATGATGCCAATTTGCTGCAGACTTTGAAGTTAAGAATGGGGCTATTGGTGTCAACTTCTGGGAAGAGCTTTCATGTGGCATATACAGTATTTCTTTAGATGCAACAAAATTAGATGGATGTTTCCTTGGTGAAGTCAAGAAACACAATTGGACTAGTGCTGCGTTGAAAGAACTAATTAAATGGGAGAGAATAAATGTTGAACCCAAATCTGAAGAGATGTATTTTTCTCGATTCAAGGCTATTAGGGAGGGAGATGATAGTGGGCATGCTTGTTCAGGTATGTTTTTGTCAGATAGATGACATTTTTGTGATTCAAATGGACTAACAAGGTTATTTCACGCAATGGCCAAGAGAAACACAAGGCTTTTGAAATAAAAATTTTCATTTCACTTTTTATCCTCTTGTCAGTTAGGTTGTTAAAAATATGCTGCTAGCATGTTATGTTGATATTGTTGCCGTTGATAATTTGTCATTTATTTTTGACCAACTAGGGCCTAGTCAAGCTTCAGTTTCTGTCTCAGCACAGGAGGTGTTGGTGGCTTTAAGGGAATCAGTGATGCGACGCACTTCTCTTAATACAATTTTTCAGGTTAATAATTGTTTGAACTAAATGCAATTTTTGTGTTTTACACTGTAGAATGCCATGCTGGTTTAATATTTTTATTTTTTTGGCCATTAATATTAGACTCTTTTTTGCCATCTTAATATTGGCTGGTTAATATAGCTTTCTTTAACATTTATATTCTCAAATTTCATTGAACTTATTTTCTTGAACTTTATTATGTGGCTTTTTCTTTTTCTTTTTCTTTTTCTTTTTTATTTTTCTGGTTCTCATAAGGGTCAAAAATTAGTCATATTCAAATCTTCAATAAAATCTTCTTTCAAATTGTAGCTGATTAATTTTTTAAAATGATGGGAATGTTTGGATTTTAATGAATAGGCTGTTACATGTGATGACAAACAAAGTGAATCAGTTCCAGTTGCCATTCTTTTTTCTGGTGGATTAGACTCTATGATTCTTGCAGCATTATTGGATCAATGCCTAGCTCCTATGTGTAAGTAGTCTGATGTCTCATGTTCCGATTTATTTTATTTTATATTTTTTGCATTTCCAAATTTTGAATGATTGTTATGAGCATTGATTATCATATAAATTGAAAACTGAAAAGTAAGAACTTATGTAAAACAATGTTATCTTGAGCCACTTAATGGTATCTATTGTATGTGAGGTTTCTGTAATTTTATATGCATGAGTTGAAAGACCAAAAGCCAAGTTAACTCAAATTAATTTTTCCTTTTTCCTTTGACCAAATAATTTTTTTTTGACTAAAAAAATGAAAGTATAATAAAGATATCCTGTTTCCATTTGATTTGTCATTAATTATGAGGGATACGATTAATATATTACAGCATGTCTGGCTAGAGTTTATGTTTAAGTGATTGGAAAAATTGGGCCATCTTTTTAAGTTATTTAGTCAAAGCAGTTTGGCTTTCCCTATGACTAGTTGGTTCAGCTGCATGAATGTATTTCCTCCAATCCATTCTATCAAAGAACATATTGATGTCAAAGCAAAACTGTCATGGCCTGAACCTTGGTCTGAATTCTAATACACTTTCTGGTTCTTTTGCCTATTTTGGTACTTAATTTTGCCAGTATCCTTATGATTGTTTTGACATCATCATAATTGCTTGCTTGTTCTATACACATTTTGTTTTTTCTGCTTTCATTTTTTTTTTCTGACCAATTTCTTTTGCTATCATAATCTTACATGACATTTAGACTCCGTATAGTATAGTTGTGGTTTTTGATTTTTAGTTTGATTTTCATAAATTTATTTGTTTAGGACAAGTTTTAACACTAATAACAAAAAATATACTTGTTTAATAATATTAAAATTATTTTTGTTCTTATTTCTCTAATATGTGGCAAAAATACATGAAAGTAGGTAAGTTTTTGTTTAGAGTTGCAAAATTTATAAAAACCAAAACTAGAAAGCAAAAACCACAACCATACCAATCGGAGCCTTAGTAAAATGCTAGCTCTCATTGGTCCTTTTCATGTGTCACAAAAATGTTCTAGTTGAGCGTGGTTAAAATTTATAATTATATTCTTTTATCTTGGAGAGTGTTATTGTATGGATCAAAGGGAAATTGGTTGGTACTGTTTTAACCTTTAGTGACTGGATTTTATTTCCTGTTTTGTATACTAAGGAGATTAGCCAATCTTGAGACAGTAGTGATGCAGGGAAGGTAGGGGTAGAACAAAGAGAAACTAAGAACTCCGTAAAATTAAAGATGGAACCAAGAAAACTTAGGTTTTCAACTTCAATTTTATTATCAAACTAAAATCTCACAACAAAAACTGCTTTTGAAATTTAAGAAGAATAACTATTTATACTAACAATAGCCAAGAATCCTAATTCAATTCTAATTTGAACTTCTAATAGGCTACTAATTCTAATCCTAATTAAAAAGTCACCTGATAACCACATGACCTTCCTAAAATTAAAACTTAGACTTCAAATAAAACTCAAACTAAAACAAATAATTAAAAATAACTTTATGCTCCCACATCAAGTAGTCAGGTATGGTTTTTGTTTTATTAGGTTTGATATTGTAGATTACTTAAAGGGTTGGATGGATCTTTGTTTTCAGTTAGTTTTAAGTGTTGGATTACCACTTGTACTTCCCCAATAATAAAGTTTCATTTTGCTGATCTAAAAAAAAAAATCTTGGAGTGTCATATGCTGAAATCACTGTAAACATAGTGTGGAACTATATGTTAGACTTGATGCTTATCATTTCAATAATGTAATTTTAATTTTCTTGTCTTCAAGCTAAAATTCGTACGAGGGCTATACTCATTGTCTAAGATTCTGTTAAAAAGGCTCATTCTAATCCAATTATTGAATATGGGGATGGAAGGTTGCTTAGTTATGGAGTTGAAACTTCAAACTAAAATTAAGGATTCCTTCTGCCAATCATTCTCATCTTATTGTCCATTTAAACACTTGATGTCAGACGAGATTGATCTGCTCAATGTGAGCTTTGATGGTGAGTCTGCCCCTGATAGAATATCTGCTAAGGGAGGAGTAAAGGAACTTAGAAGGATCGCACCTTCGAGAAGGTATGACTCTTAATTTCTCCTCTTCTTCAATTAATGTAGTCCGTCCTTTTCCCTAGTAAAGGAACTTAGATTGATTGCACCTGCAAGTTCTCTTTCATGTGCCACTACATTGTTATCTCATGTACCCTACTTGAACGAAATGTATTGTAATTATTTTGTCCTGTTGGAAGAGAAACATATATATTATTTTTAACTAAACAAGAAAGAGAAAATATTAGTCTGAAATTAAGATATTTAAGGCATATGTTATGATAAATCTTGATTTTAGTGGAAATGGGAGATCAAAATGCTAGAGCATATCAGAGTCACGAATAAGGGCATTTCAAGGTCCATAAAAATATTTAGTAAATGAAGATGTTCTCAAATTACATACTGAGTAGTCTCTGAATAGATGACATATATATTATCATCAGAGTGCAAGATGCAGAGATATCAATGCTTTGTTATTTGTCAAAGTGATGATGACTTGTCTTTAAGTTACTCCTCTTATCTGAGATGTTAATCACATTGAGCTATGTGAGAAACTTTTTCACATGATCAGAGTTTCTACTATGGCAAATAACCTTTTACCATTTTCTTTTAAGGTAGTTTTCTTTATATCAAGGGTCAAATGGCTTCAATTCAACTTCAAGTAGTTGATTGTAAAAACCTGTTTCTTGGCATTATTGGTTATCAATTGTATTGTTGTCTTTTTCTCTATGGCTTTCCTATAAAAAAAAAAAAAAATGTATTGTTGTCTTTATGCTAAATTCTAAAGTTCGGGAAACACAGGTGGAGACTGGTGCACATAGATGCTGATTTGTCAAAGTTGACCTCTGAAATGAAGCATGTTTTGTCTCTTATTTGTCCTGCTAATACCTACATGGTACCCATCTATCTTCTTCTATGATATTTCTGGCTACCATCTTCTACATAATAACTTAACTGGCTATACATATATGTTTTCTGCTTAATTAAACAGCATGGGTTTTGGTGTATACTTGCTCAGTCTTTTTTCATGTACTCTCTGCTTCATTGCATATTTCTTTTCCTTATCCATTTTATTGTCAATAGTTTCATTTATTGTTAAGTCTTAACCAGGACCGGTAATCTATTTATGTTTGTGCATTATGATCTATCCACTATCTTCCTTTCATCCTATTCTTGGGTTAGCTTCCTTTTCTTTTTCTTTTTTGTTGATTTTATTTCTTAAAATCAAGCTAATCTGTATTAATAATTTGAGGGGGACTTTATCCCCTTAATATCACATGATGGCCAATGAAAGTGGCAGTCTATTTTCTTTAGCTTTTTCTTGTTAAATGTAAGGATTGACCCTAACCCATTTGTCCCTCAACTTTTAAACACCTTTTACTTTTAGTCCTCAAACTTTGTCTAGAATTCAGTGTTAAGGGTTTTAGGGTATAAGGTTTTAAGATTTAAGACCTTGTGTAGGGTTGAAGGTTTTGTAGGGTTCTTTTTCTTGGGCAAACAAACCAGATTTATAGGGTTCAATATTTAAGTTCAGGGTTTATATCTTAAGATTTAGGGTTTAGTATATAGGGGTTTAGGTTTTATATTATGCTTTTTTTAGGTCAGCAATTATGCTGCAAGGGATGGGTGAATTGCCAATGGTGGGGTTCAAACCAGCAAGCCCTGTGAATCACCACACTTAAGGGAGTCCTGCTAAAGGCTGGGCTACTACCAGGTGATGGTTAAGTTTTATTATAATCTTGGAGTTTAGGGTTTCATATTTATGGTTTAGGGTTTATATTTCTGGTGTTTAGGGTTTAGTAGTTAAGGTGTAGGGTTTATATTCTTACAATTTAGGGCTTATATTCTTATAAATTTTTTTTTTGGCTGAACTTATAATTTAAGGTTTATTGTTTATATCTTAGGTTTATATTCTCAGAATTGGGGGTTCAATATTTAAGGTTTAGGTTTTATATTCTTAGAGTTTATGGTTCAATGTTTAAGATTTAGGTTTAAAAGTTTAAGATAAAGGGTTTAATAATATAGGAATTATGTTATCATTTAATTTAAAAATGAAAATTAAAAGTTACAGGACCTAAAAATGAAAATTGAAAGTTGTAGAACCTGAAAATGAAGTAAAACACTGAAGGGCCAGTCTGCTTCATTTTGGCCTGGGAACCATCTGCCTTTCTAGCATCACCCAATTTTTATTTCTTTTAACCAATCAGAATACAAAACTAGCGGACAACCTGAACCGGTCTTCTTGGATGACAAAAATAAGGAAAACTAACATTTTGTGTCTGATCTTATATCAGGATGTATTTTTTTCATTTTTTGGTATGTTACTCCTAATGGATTAGACGCTTAAATTTAAATTGCTTTTGATTGGCAAACAAAAGGAACAGTTCAACACTTATTACTTGTCGGCCAAAAAAACACTTATTACTCAGTTCTCTTTGAAAGTAACTTTCCCGATAATATTATCCAACAAAGCGTTTTAAAGGGTGGACTGCACTGCATTTTGTGCTATGAATTTACTAAAATACCCTTAATGAAATTATTTCTTATGTTATTTCCTTAAGGGTATTTTAATAAATTCATAGGGCAGACTGCATTTTTAATGTGCGGTCTGGACTGTAAAACGTGAATCCCATATATATTACCTTGAATACCTTTCTGTTTTGAAGGGTGGTGAATACTCATGGAGAATAAATCGCAAAATATTTCATATTTACTCTCATTTTTGTGAAAACAAGAACTGTCCCTCTATGGCAACAAAGAAAAAAGGAATTGTGGGATTAGTCATGTCATAACCCTCCCTCTCTATCCCCTAAGAGTACAAGGTAAGAACAACAACTACAACTCCATGAGTCGGCTTGTATTGGAAATATAAAACTAAAAACATCATATTGTTTTTGAAACTGTTGGAAATAGATTTACTAGAAATCTGTTGATAGGTACGGAACATGACATTTCATACTCCTAAATAATTAGAGTTTAAAACTTTTAAGAAGCAGGAGAACTCAAAATGTAAAAGTAAAGGTATTTAAAGAAGGCCTGTTTGGTGTGGCTGGAGCTTTTGATGGAAGTCCTGTTGGAAAGAATCTGTTGTAGAAGTGCGGTTTTTAAGAAGTTGAAAGTGTTTGGTAAAATTTTTTATGGAATTACTTGTAGAGTGAAAAGTTGTTTGGTAAATTTTTTTGTAAGAGATCTTTTAATATTGAAATGACTAAAAAGGACATTTTCTTTAAAAAAGCATTATTTCTCTTTTTTT